CGGTCAACGAAGGAATAGACCTCCACCCAAGACACACCGATCAGACTCGGTATCTCGATACAACAAGATGATTCGACAGGTTAAAACAAGTCCAGCAACACCGCCCGAATGTGCCGACAAATCCCGATAGGAGCTGCACATATCTCTTTCTCAGGGCACACTCAGATGAGCAATCCGTACAACTAAAACCAACCCTTGAGTTTCCCCGAGGTGGCGCTGCACAAGGCTCTAGTTCGGACCAACACTCAGAGGAGCACTGGCCCGTGGGGGGCTAAAATAAAGATGACCCTCGGGCTCCGGAAACCCAAGGGAAAAAGGGGGGGTAGGCGGCAAATGATAAAACCAATGTTGGGCATTGCTGGAGAAGCTTTAATCAAGGCGAACTATCAAGGGGTTCCCATTATAGCCCAACCGCGTAAGGGACGCAACAATCCGGGAATATAACACCGATATGACGGAAACTAGGGCGGCAAGAGTGGAACAAAACACTAGGCGAGAGGTCGAGCCTTCCACCCTTTACCAAGTATATAGATGCATTAAGATAACATAGCAATATAATGATATCCCAACAAGTAAATAAATGTTCCAACAAGGAACGGCTCCAATCTTCACCTGCAGCTAACAACGCTATACGAAGGGCTGAGCAAAGCGGTAACATAGCCAATCAACGGTTTGCTAGGACAAGGGTGGGTTAGAGGTTCAATCATGCAATTGGGAGGCTGACAAGCAAATGGTAGGCATCGTAGCAGTGGCAAAGCAAAAGAGCGAGCAAACTAGCATAGCAAAGATAGTAGTGATTTCGAGGGTATGATCATCTTGCCTGCAAAGCTGTCAGAGGTGACTGGATCCTCAAAAGCACACTCAACGGGCTCCTCGTTAGTGAACTCGTCTCCCGGCTCTACCCAACAACACAAACAAGCAACAAGGATACAATCAACCACGTGCAAGGGCAACAATAATATGCAAAGACGGTATGATATGCGGGATGCGATGCGGGATGCAAAATGCAAGACGTGACAGAAAGTGCATGAACTTGGCCTCAACTTGGAAAACTAAGTGTGCCACTGGATAGAGGGGAAGAAATCACCTGAAAACGATATAAAGATCATAGGAATCGGAGCTACGGTTTGGAAATGGCGAGCGTTTTACGAAACGAACCGATCTGCGATATACAGCAAGTAGGCTCCTAAATGCAACGAAATGAACATGCTACAGCCACCCAACATGAAAAAAAAATACATGGCAGTGATTTACACAAGATGGTTAACAAAACACTAGCACTGAGCCATAGGCAAATTCATCCATCAAGAGGTTCAAACAAGCATGGAAAAAATGAATATGCAAAACAGATTCCAGACTTAGTGAAATTAACACTAGCCTGAAATTTCAGATCACGAAGCCCTCTTCGGAGCAGCAAAACAACATGATACAAAACCTGAACAGGACAAGTAAGAACATGGCATGGAGCTACTCAACAAGCTTAACAAAACACCCAAAGTGACCTGGGGCCAAAAGGGTTCACAAAATACTCTACCGAGCTCACGAACATAGCTCGAACACAATCAGTTTTCAGACTTAGTGAAAACTGAGGCATGCAGAAATTTAACTCACGAAGGCATGTAAACGAGCTCGATGCACTCACTACGGTGCAAGTCATGGCAAGGAAAGAATATAACCAGCAAGAAGGCACAATGTGCTAGCTACACATGGCAAGAACAAAGGCATAGCATGCATGGAACACTAACGGTAGCATCGGCAAAATCGCAAACAAGTTGACGATCTGCCTAGATTAACAACGAAGCAAAAGTTGAGCTCGATTGAGTCAACCTAGAGCACTCCACATATGTAAACAAAGACATGGATGGATAGAGCATAACATAAATATCAAAACTCCCTTACTGATCATCCTCAAAAGAGGCACGGATCACTAGGAAACAAGCTGGACATATAGCATCATGAACTAAAATATCCCAGACTTAGTGAAAATCACTAAGTCTCTGAAATCAGCAATCTCAGGTACCTCTCTTCGCAAGCTTGCACAAGACAACACACACATCCTAAAAATGCATGGGTGGCACCTCTGGAAATAAGACAAAACGCTTAACAATTCATCCCAAAGGGGCACAGGCATATCATGCACGAATTAAACATGGAAAAAATGACAAAAGTGCATGATGAACTAACGGATCTGCAATTTAACTCATGAAGCCTCCTTCTAAAAGCATTTTGGGCATCAAGATGACCTCAAATGCAAATGATGCAATGGAATGAAATGATGTACATGTCGAGGCGAAGATTTTGATATATCATATGCCCAAAACGGAGCTACGGTTGCGGAGATACAAGCAGTCAAACATAGCACGAAAAACTAAGGTTAGGGGGAGAGAAGTCAACCGAAACGACCCAGATCCAGATCTGGCGCGGTTTACGGAGTTCGCCGGAAACACTGTAGCTGCTCGCCGGAGTTGCGCCGGAGAGGCCCATGAGCTCGCCGGAGCTCGGGGAAGAGGCCGGGGAGGTCGGGGTCGCCGGATCCGGCACTCCCGCGGCCGGATCTGGCCGGAGACGCGGCGAGGAGGCGGCGGCCGGTCGGGGGGCGGCGGCCGGAGCGCGGCAGCGGTGGGGCGCCGGCGACGCAGGTGGCGGTGGCCCGGCGACGAGGGAGAAGAAGCGGGGCGCGGCGGAGGGGAGTGGCCCGGTCAGACAAGGAGGCGGGCTCCCCGCGGGCTCGGGCGGGCCGGCGCGACTGCGGCGATGTGGGCGCCCGCCCGGGACACGTGGCGCGACGGTGTTGGCTGAGGCGGGCGGCTGGGTGGAGCGGACGCTGTCCGGCGCGGGCCGGACACGTCCGTCGGCGGCGGAGGAAGGAGATCTGTTTTTTTTAGGAGGAGGACGGGGAGGAAGACGAGATCCGAAATGGGGGGGTGTTTAAATAGGCATAAGTGGAGTTAGGAGAGTCCAAATGAGGTGCGATTTTCGCCCACGCGATCGTGATCGAACGCTCTAGGACATGGAGCAGAGTTTGGTGGGTTTTGGGACAATTTTTGGGGGGTGTTGGGCTGCAACACACACGAGGCCTTTTCGGTCCCTCGGTTAACCGTTGGAGTATCAAACGAAGTCCAAATGATACGAAACTTGACAGGCGGTCTACCGGTAGTAAACCAAGGCCGCATGACAAGTCTCGGTCCAATCCGGAAATGTTTGAACCCCACACACGAAAGAAGACTAGAAATGACCACCGGAGGAGAACGAAGTGCCGGAATGCAAAACGGACAACGGGAAAAATGCTCGAATGCATGAGATGAACATGTATGCAAATGCAATGCACGAGATGACATGATAAGAGATGCACGAAAAAGAAAAACAACACACGGAGACAAAGACCCGAACCCGAGAAATAAATATAACTTAGCGCCGGAGACGGCAAGAGTTGGATACAAATATGGAAATTATATCTGGGGCGTTACAGTGGCCAACTATATCCACGCATATCACAGTGATGTATCATTGCACAACGCACGGTTACCGCCAGCTTGGCCCATCACTGCCTCCTCCGCGTCACATGGCTGCATGGGCGTCGTAAGTCCATCACCACACCTCATGGACTGCCTATGTCTCCATATTTCTCCCTTCCCTCATTTCGGCACGCCCGAGCCATCACCACCTCCTCTGCACGACATGGTTACACAGGCACCCGGCCCATCACCTGCTCCTCCGTGTCATATGGTTGCACGGTGCCGCCAGTTCATCACTGCCTCCTCCGCACCACACGGTTGCACAGGCACCCGTCCATCACCTGCTCTTCCCTATCATATGGTTGCACGGGCGCCATCAATCCATCACCGCCTCCTCCGTACCACACACTTGCATGGGCGTCCGTCCCACACCGCCTCCTCCGCACCATAAGGCTGCACAGGCTTTGCATGTCCACCACCACGCCGCACACCCCGCCTATCGCCTCATCTTTCTCCTCCTGTTTTGTGCGGTAATTAACGTCCAACGACGACGACGCTCGGGGCCTAGAGGAGCATCTCCTATCGTTAGTCAGTGCAAATCATTGCTTTTATTTCAAATATGTGCTTTCTATTTTGATTCTAACTACGCATCTAAATGATCAATATTGAAAACCAGAAGCCATATACTTTGGTGCAGTGTTGCAACTTCCAAGTATTTCTCACCCCCACTACCTTTTTACTGTTATTGCAGACCATTATTATTGTTGTTTTGTATTATTTGTATCTAACCAAGGTAAGTTATGAAATATCGGTTGGTCAAATCTTAGAGCTGTATGATTGTTGTATGTATACTACAATCAGAAGCCTCAGTTACGCATATCATAATTTTGAATTAGTTTTGCGAAGCCTCAGTTACGCATATCATAATTTTGAATTAGTTTTGCAAATGAATATTATCATGTCCATCCAGTACTATGGTTTAACCATGCAGGTCCGGAACATGTGTGACGCCAACCACTACTTTGGGACATGCGTGACGCCAACCACTACTTTGGATATGTTTTTGGCAATGCTGCTAACACATCAGTAACAAAGAAATAAATAAACAGTAGAAAAGTAGAACGACGCGGCAAGGCACGTGTATGCTTCTACTTCATTTGATGTGAGATCAAAATGTTAAAAGTTTTCCTTACGTATTTTGGTTTTTTGTCACAAATGAACTGATGAACTAGCAGTCCAACCAGTAAAATTCTGAACCGACAGCCTCACCGGTTAGGTTTCCAGTTAAGTTTTTCTTACTATGGCCTTAATTGCAGTCTGCAAATTTAGTTTATCCAGAATACAATATTGTACCTCACTTAAGCTATAAAAACCACCATTTAAGTGGAGGCTACCAACCATAAATGTTTACAAACATTGCAGCTAGAATACAAATGATGTTACAATCAGAATCGCGGTAATTTTACATAAACCTGTCATGTTCCATACATCGAAGATAAGAGAAACTTTCATTAGGTGTACAAGCTTATGAGGTATCGCTACGAACTAAACGGGCTTCCCGTTCAACTTTGGGAAGGGATCTTGTTTGCTAAGGACAAGAACTTTGCTTTTGTGGGCAAAGTATCCTTTTATGAGATTCTTGTATATTAGGCACGCCATGATGCATTCCACCTGATAGCAGCAAGGGAGGAAATCAGGTTACATTATTATCATAGCAAATCAAGATATTGTCAGAAAAAACAATATTTTGGTCTCTCCAAGTACCTCATCCACATCCATGGTGATTCCAAGCCATTGGAGAGTCTTTACCAAGACCTCTAGCTTGATTTGATGCGCCTTCGATGGTTCCTTCTCCCTCTGTATGATATGGCTGCAGAAGAAAGCAAACGAAAAAGGATTGGTTCATTCTGTAAAAGTGTGACAAGGACACCTTCAAGATCACACTCACATTTTCTTCACTAATCTTCGGTAGACCTGGAGTTCAAGTTTCTCCAACACAAGGTAGACACCACATTTTAGTAACCTTGCAACACAAATAAGCAATCAGTGTCTCCATACAAAAAAGAAGGAAGCAATCGATGTCCCAATACAAAAAGAAGGAAGCAATCGATGTCCCCATAGAAAAAAGGAAGCAATCAATGATAGTGGAGGGTCCAAACTTTTTCAGCACACAAATATGTGAACTTACTGGTCTTCATGTCTATCAAGGGCTTGCTTAAGGAGCCTCAGATCCCCTCTCCTAAGTGAGGTCACAATATCTGCATACTGAAAGGTTAAATTACCAACTTGTACAAATCAAAATGGTTACGGGAAATCTGCAAGTAGTGAAGTCAGAGCACAGTGAAAGAATTTTAACCTCCGCATTAAAAGAACATCTTTATGAAACAGAATAAATAATTCAAGGCAGCAGCATATTTCACAAAAGTGAGAAAAGATACAATATGAATCCATCACTACTTACCCAAGATACAGCCTACAACTACAACGAGAAATTTAAATTAGCCATGGTATGGAAAACAAGAGTATATATTTAAGACAAGCAATCAGCTTATAGTAATGTCACACGGCAATAAAAGCAAAATTGGGCTCTTAGTACTTTGGCTTGTTTTCTCAGAGGTTGATCATCATTTAAAACCTCAGTTCACGATTACGAAAGCAATTCATATAACGGACTAAGCCTTATCGTTGATGAATGATCAGTAGGCCAAGTATACTTATCATAACCTGTCACCAATCATTGTTCTCAGGGGACAAGGACCTGAGGAATGCCAATTAGATTATTTTTAGCGTAAATGTTGATAAGGTTCTGATAAAGTTAATCATGGTTCTCAAAAGGTTCACAAATCTTATATGTACTGTAGATTTCCCAACCTTTTGTCTTATCTAATCTCATATAGACCCTAGGGTAAGAGATCATACTAAAAAGTTGACACGCCCAGATTAACTTGTTAATCATCTCGAAGAATTGGTAAGTTAAACATAGGATGCTCATATACTCATGAGACTTCATGTTAATGAAATGTACTTGTACCAGTAGAGTATCCAAATGCACTCAAATTGCTGCTACAGTATTCCCCTTTGTTGTCTATAATTTTCCAGTCACACCCAAATGTTAGTAGATCTTGCTTCTTGAGAACTGAAGGTCAACGCATTGACGTGGCATCAGCATCAGAGCCTATGGCCTAGTGTTCTAACCTAATTGTTCACATATGGAGTGCTAAGTGTAATCATAACAAAAGAAACAAATTATGTTCATGGGAATATTCGTGAACAACCAAGATAAATGTTTTTGCAATTGGAAATGGTGGTACTAAATAAACTACATATATTGCATTTCACAATCTGCTTCATATTAGTAAACACTAAACAGGAGTACAAGGATATATACCTCAAGCAGATTGTATTTCTCCAGGAGGGTCCTCCTTGGCAAAACACCAATTGACAGCTTTACAGGGATTAGAAACTTCAAAATTTTCCTAGAAAAAAACAGACCATTAGTAGTTCCAACAAATGTGTACCACACAAACCACAAGCTACAAAACGCCCAGTAATACAAATACCTCAAATTTGATTCGCTTTGAGGATTACAATGCATCAAAGCATAAGTTAGTTTCTGATCAGCCTGATTCAAACAAGAACAAAAAATATATATTAGCAGCCTCACCGATTCATAGGTCAAAATAACTTGCCATAGCAGAATATACAAAAAATGTTCACACACAAGAAGAGAGTGAGACAGAACTTACAACAAGAAAATTCTCATTAAACACCTCCAAGCGACCTGTATAATACATATAAGTGACCTGTGCCGTCATGAATAATCAAGATTATTATTGGATCGACATGCATGTTAATATAATGCCTTGTATTGATAGAGAAGAGAGACCACAACTTTTACTATCTTACCTTATCTTTCACTGGAAAATCTTCAAAATCAAAATTCCTAGCTGTTTCGATACTCCTTATGACACTACGGCAAAGGTTAACAGTACCAAGCTGCATAATTTGAGCATCAAGTGTTAGCCTGTTGTATAAATCATGTAAATTGGGATTCCAGTGCATACTATACTTTAGCTACATTTAGCATGCTAACTAGACACTGTTTGTGCTTTATTCACAATAGTACTGAAGTTACAGATTAGACGAAAACATTGCAGTGAATAACCTACCCTGAAATAAATTTTAAACAGCTGGCAGGTAACATACAGTGCCCCAACGCGCTTAGGTCCTTTAACCTGTAAGGTTGAAGATTCACCAATAACCAAGAGACAGAATCTTTAGAATATATCCATTTTAAGAAAGGAAAGCATGCATCAAGGAAGTATAATTGCAGCATGTTCTTTTAGAAGAGTCACATCACCCGTCCAGCAATTCTAGCATATACATGAAAAGTAGCTATCAGAAGAGAATTCATTGTATGAATAAATATGATAGATGATAAGTGGCTGAGGCAGAACAGTAGCATTGTGTAACTTCAGAGTAATTTCTATGCAAAAACACCACCCTCTAGGTTGATGTAAATGCATCAGCTTCTCCTCTACTGGCAACATAGGCCGTCTCCCCCTTAAGCATGTGCAGTACAGAATGCTTCAACATGTCACGCTTGAAGCCTTAGGCAGAACCACAACATTAAACACCAAGTAAGCTACAACTACTCCAATGCAAGTTCCTCTACGTAGGTGCTTAGATGATTGTGTTATCTACCGACAAGAGCCAATTATATTCCTAAGCACATGGTAAGCACTGGTGCCTAAACAAGCATAGGTGCTAGTACAAAATAAGAACCTTGTCTGCCCTTTGTGACAAGGAGAAAATGTTCACTTTTTGCTAAGCACCTCTCTGAGGCACCTGCATTGCACAAGCTCATCACAAGCAATTTCTTTCAATTCGAATCAGACTCTTTTTTGCTCAATTCGAATCAGACACTTGCTAATTCTTATTACCATTCAAGAATGCACACCAGACAAAGCTTTCAGAATTCCATACCGCAAGTGCCCCGAAAACTTTCATCAGGAAGGACCCAGCAGCCTGCAGCTTGTCTGGGTTCTTCCCGCTCATCACAAGCTCTCTATCTGCCTACACCAAGACAATAGGCAAGCAGACATGAGCCCCAAAACCTCAGGTTTACAAACCCAAACCAACCGACCACCCAGCTCACCTTCTCAGCTAGCAGCCTGATCTCAAGCGCCACCATGTGCATCGCCTCCATCGCCCAAGGAGTCTCCCAGTTCCTGAACTCCTGCAGGAACGCGCTGCAACCAAAAGCACATCAAATCCACAAAAAAATTGAATAAATATATCCAAATTGTTCGGTAGGAGTGCAGAGAGGAAGGCAGCACGCACCTAGCAGCCTTCTCGAAGGAGGAGTAGGCGTCCCCGAAGCGGCGGAGGGAGTGGGAGTGAATGGCGCGGAGTAGCGACGGGAGGAAGTCGGAGAGGTGGGGGAAGCGGTCGGCGGCGAGGCGGCCGAAATCCGGAAAAGCGGCGAGCGCGTCGGAGAGCGGGGTGGAGGCGGGCGCCGAGGAGATGGCGAGCAGAGAGGCGAGGTCGGCGCCGTCGGACTGAGAGATAGCGTCATCCAAGCGGGAGAGGTAGTCGGCGATGCGGCGGTGCGCCTCGCCCATGCTCAGGTACGCCGCCATCTCCGGTGCGGCGGCGGCGGGAGCCGCGCGGGTGTTGGGGTTTGGGCTTGGAGGTCACCGACGGTGGAAGAAACCAGTATGAGTTCGATCTGATGGGGGTAGTTCTGGTTTATGCAAGGTGGTGACGATCGCCAATCCACGCCGTCCAGTGAGAGAAATCGATGGTTGAGATTAACTGATAAAATCAGAGTATGGTTTGGCTTGGTTTGCTCATTGCTGCCGTCTGCGCCCCTATCTGGCAAGGTAAAACAACTTGATCACAGGTCCGTCCCGTGTGTGAGGGTAGGTCTCTTTCTCTAGCGCTTCTCGTGGCGATTTAGGGTTCGCCTCCTCGTCCCCCTCTTCGGCGGCGGCAGATCCATCTCGTCCCAGCCGCCGTCAGCAGCGCCGGCGGCCAACGCCCCCACCTCCCTCTCTCGTCCGCATAGATCCCCTCCCACCTCCACCAGAGGCCTTCCGTGTGAGTCTGGGGCACGCGGTCGTACACCCACCAAATCCCTAGCATTTTTCCTTTGTTCTCCTGTGACGCACGGGAGCTTGGAGAATGGGGGGTAGCGTGGAGAGAGTCGAAGGAATGTTGAAGAAGATGAACCTTTCTGAGGCAGAGAAGAGGGGAGTCAAGGTGGGCTGGAAAAGGGCGGCGGCGCAGGAGGGTAGTATACCAAAGGCGATGGGGAAGCTGATCTCGGACAGGCCGGGGTATGCAGAAAGGATGGCGATTGCGCTAGGGCGAGTGTGGTGCCCGATGAAGAGACTGAAGGTCAAGGAGATGGGGGAGAATCGATTTCTGTTTATGTTCCACCAGGAGGCGGGAAACGAAAGGCGCTCGAGAACGGGCCATGGACCTTCGGCAAGGAGCTTCTGGTGATGGAGGATTTCGACCCCAGGAAGACACTAGATGATTATGTGTTTGAATCAGTTCCAATATGGGTGTGTATTTTTAATGTCCCTTTGGGAATGATGTGTACGGAGATGGGGGAGGATCTAGCAGATGAGATAGGGGAATTGGTAGAAGTGGATTCGGGTGAGGATGGCTCGGCGTTGGGGCAGTGCCTGAGAGTGAAGGTGCGAATCAAAATTGCTGAGCCACTTATGAGAGGTATCTTTATGGATATTGATCCAGTGGAGGAAGGGGCAATGGAGGAGGAGGGAGGGGAGGAGGAGGAAGTGAGGGGAAAGGAAGATGAAACGGGTGGGAGGAAGAAGAAGAAAAAGGTGAAAGAATATGGTGCTGGGTTGAGTACGAGTTTTTGCCAGACTTTTGCTACACATGTGGTAGGCTGGGGCATTTAGACAAGGACTGCAAAATAAAACTCAAGAGGGGCAAGCTGCTGAATTCGGGAGATGGATGAAATATGTCCCAGAGAAGCCCCAATCATATGACATGGCCAGGGGTGGATCGAGGGAGTTAAGTGGAGGCAGCTCGGGAAGGAAGAATGGCTGGTCGAATAGTGAGGGGAAGAGCAGGAGTGATGCACCATCGTGGAGGAAACCACCAACTTGCATAGCCGATGGGGGTAAGAAGAAGCATGCTGAGGGGGAGGAGATCAAGAGTCCACTAAAGATAGGTCCATCTGATACGAGGGCTAATGACACTGAAGTGGGAGAGAAGAATAAAAAACAACTTGACTTTGGGAAGGGGGACGCCAACAATCCAAGCCTGGCTGGGATGGAAAACATTACGGGTTTGGCAGTAAGGGGTGGTGGTGGTGTGATAGTTGGTGTTGGGAATGGGTCGAATGAAAACCACAATGTGCCAGGGAACAAAGAGGAAGTTGGGGTAGGATATGTTGTAAACAGCCCAATTGCGAACTCGAAAGGGAGGAATGGGAAATTCAAGAGAAAACCCAGGGAGAGTGTGGAAGGCAAAACGTGTGGAGTAATAACAGAAAAAAGAGGAGGGGGGGGAGATGGAAGTGGATAGCCAGGGGTCACCAAAGAAAATCAAGGGGAACAAAGCAAGCACCCAAGAGATGGAGGTAGTACAGACTGTATTAAACGCGGGACTGCCAGGTCAGTCCTGCGAGCAAAAATGAGAATAATCACATGGAATTGCCGGGGTTTGGGGAATGGCCCGGCAATTCAAGGACTCCTGGATATACTGGAGAAGGAGGACCCCGACGTACTCTTTTTGTCGGAGACGAAATTGGTACGTAGTAGGCTGGAGTGGCTGCGGTGGAAATTGGGCCTTACGAATATGATGGTGAAGGATTGTGAAGGTCGGAGTGGAGGTTTGGCTTTATTCTGGAAGAATGAGGTGAACTTGAGAGTGGTGGGCTTCATGTCTAGATATCACATCGATTCGGAGATCACGGAGGAGGATGGGTTTGTGTGGCAATTCACACGGATGTATGGGGAGCCGAAACATGATGAAAAGGATAAAACTTGGCGTCTTATGAGTAATCTGAAGGCACAAAACAACAAACCGTGGCTTTTCTCAGGAGACTTCAATGAGATTTTACACCCTTGGGAGAAGGATGGAGGTGCACCCAGATCACAAAATTGCATGGACAAGTTTAAAGCTGCGCTTGAGGCGTGTGAACTTGGAGACTTGGGCTTCATTGGTGATGCTTTTACATGGCGGAATCACAGCCATACTGCAGTTAATTACATAAAGGAGCGGATTGACAGAGCAGTGGCTACACAATCATGGTGCAACCGGTTTTCAACTTTTAAGGTAACTAACGGAGATCCTCGACACTCGGACCACAGACCAATCATCATTGACACACAAGGAGGAGATAAGAGACAGCAGGGCACGACTCGGAGCTCTACGCCGAGGTTTGAGGCGAAGTGGCTGGAGGAAGAGGACTGTAGGGCGATGGTAGAAAATGCTTGGAAGAAGGGAGTACAGTTGGAAGGAAAGGGGGTGGCAGCGGCTGTTAAAGGAGTCATGGGTGAGTTAGTGGACTGGAGTAGAAATATTTTGGGAGACTTGGAGAAACGAATTAGCAAAGCAAAAAAAGGAGTTGGAGAAGTGTCGAAGGAGCAACATTAGTGCAGATCAGGTCCGGAGGGAGGAACTGCTAAGATTTAAATTGGGAAGACTCGAGGATCAGAGGGAGTTATATTGGAGGCAGCGGGCACATGTCCATTGGATGAAGGGAGGCGACCGAAATACAAAGTTCTTCCATGCAACAACCTCGGATAGAAAGAAGAAAAATCACATTAGGAAATTGAGGAGAGAAGATGGGACTGTAGTGGAGGAGAAGGAGGCCATGATGGAAGTCGTGACTAACTATTTCCTTAATCTGTTTACGTCCCACACTGCTTCAAGAATGGAGGAGACGATGAGTCAGGTTGATTCACGTGTTACCCCGCAAATGAATGAGGTTTTGAATGAGCCCTTCTCTGAGAAGGAAGTGTTTGAAGCCCTCCAAAGTATTGGTGATCTGAAGGCCCCTGGACCCGATGGTATGCCATCTGTGTTCTACAAAAAATACTAGGACATTGTAGGAGAAAAGCTGGTTGCAGAAGTGCTTGAGGTGCTGAATAGGGGACCCATGCCTGAGGGGTGGAATGAGACTTGTGTTGTGCTGATTCCAAAGGTGCAAAGTTCGGAATATATGAAAGACTTGAGACCAGTCAGCCTCTGCAATGTTGTTTATAAGTTGGTCTCTAAGGTACTTGTAAATCGGTTGAAACAAATCCTTCCAGACATTATCTCACTTAACCAAAGTGCCTTTGTTCTGGGCCGGTTGATCACAGATAATATTTTGTTGGCTTATGAATGTACACACTATATGCAGAGAAAGAGAAGAGGAAAGGAAGGGTTTGCTGCAGTGAAGTTGGACATGAGTAAAGCCTATGATAGGGTCGAATGGGATTTTCGGGAAAAGATGATGTATAAACTTGGCTTCGAGGAGAGTTGGGTCAAATGGATCATGCTTTGTGTGTCCATGGTGTCATACAGATTCAAAGTGAATGGGGAGTGTACAGATGTGGTGCTGCCCCAATGCGGCCTCCGTCAAGGTGACCCCCTCTCATCGTACCTCTTTCTCATTTGCGCGGAAGGGTTCTCCTCCTTACTGAACAGAGCAGAAGTGAATGGAACCCTGACTGGTATATGTATTTGCAATGCAGCCCCGAGTTTCAACCACCTATTGTTTGCAGACGACTCGTTGGTACTTATTAAAGCTACAAGCGAAAGTGTCACGTATCTGCAAAGTATACTACATCTGTATGAGGTGTGCTCGGGACAAATTGTTAATTACGATAAGTCATTTGTCATGTTCAGCAAAAACACAAGGAGGGAGAGGAAGCATAGTGTCCTGGCTGAGCTACATATCAATACGGAGTCTAGATCCCAAAGGTATTTGGGGTTGCCTATTTATGTGGGACAAGATAGAGCAAACACCTTCCAGTACCTCAAGGAACGAATCTGGAAAAGAATCCAGGGGTGGATTGAGAGATTGCTGTCCAAGATGGGAAAGGATGTCCTAATTAAGGCTTGTGCTCAAGCAATTCCTACATTTGCCATGTCATGTTTTGACCTCACTAAATCCTTATGTGAGCAGACGGGGAGCATGATATGCAGATTTTGGTGGGCAAAGCAGGAGAAGCAAAACACTATGCATTGGTTGAGTTGGGAGACTCTGACAAAGCCGAAGAAGGATGGAGGCCTAGGATTCCGAGATCTATATGGGTTTCAACATCGCTATGCTAGCAAGACAGGCGTGGCGGCTCCTCCAGAACCCAACTTCCCTTTGTGCACAAGTTCTTAAAGCACGTTATTTCCCCGCTATGTCGATTCTTGAGGCTGCACCAGCCCCTGGTATCTCATACAGTTGGAGGAGTATCCTGAAGGGTGTGCATCTCTTAAAGGAGGGCCTAATATGCAGAATTGGTGATGGGACAGAGGTCGATATCTGGAAGTATCCATGGCTGAATAGGGAGGGCAAGCGATCTCCCATCACGCCAAGAAGACGGTGCCTTCTTACTAGGGTATGTGAGCTAATTAATCCAGAAACAGCAAACTGGGATAGGCAGCTGGTCAGGAA